TGCCTCCTTGATGAGAGAGTACACGAGCGCCCTGCGAAGCAAAAGGTGCATCAGGTTCATGTCCGGCTTGGAGCCGCGAAGCGGTCGCTTGCGGCTTGCGCTTCTTGGCCGCCTCAGCTCGATGCCGGCCTTGCGCAGCAGAGGGATGATGAGATATGCGACAACGGCACGCAGCAAGTAGGTGCTCAGAATCGAAACCAGCGGTAGGAGAACGAAGTACATGGTCGGCACCACCTGCTTCGTCTGCTTTGAGCCCCAGATGTGTTCAGCCCAGCAGGACATAGCAGGACAGTGTCAAGCTCACAGTACTTAGCTTGGATGCCGCATCGAGCACGCCAAGGACCTGCCGGAACCACTCGGTGGCCTCAGGCAGCCACGGGAAGTTCCTCAGATATCTCCGTCGCAGGGGTCGCCCGTCTGAGCGCGCTCTTTGATCTTCCTTTCGATTGACAAATCGAAGACTTGCTCGATCTCGAAGTGTTCAAGCACCGAGCATGCTGTCATGAATTGGGTACCAATTCGAAATATGCTCGCAGACTGCGTCCTTCACCGGGGCCATGGCCGCCAACGATGCAACGGCGAAGTTGACGAGAACGCTTTGGGCGATGTCGGTGAACACCCACGAGTCCCATCCAGCTAGCTGCGCAGCTGCATTATGAGCAAGCACCTGGATATTTATCCCGTGCATAGGCGGCTGGAGACTCGCCACATAGGACTCCAAATGAACCTCGCTCGCACAGGTTTCCGCTGAGGCAGACAAAAGCGTGCCATCCACCAGGGTCACATCGCCCCTCGCCGCTGCTGACGACCGGCACGCCTGGAGGAACTGAGCGGTACTTCGAGCAGCGGGGTGTGAAGTAGCTTCAGGAGTCTGTACTGGGGAGTCCAAGCACGAACGTGGAGGCTGGATCTACGTCGGAAACTGCAAAGGCGGATAAAAAGCGGCCTCAAACCACCAGCTCGGCTTCGTCGTCTGGAGGCTTGCTGCAACAGCACCACGTAAAAGCTTCTGAAATCGCCTGGGCCAGACGATGCACTAATTTCATGCGGACTGTTGTCATTCGGGTATGTCTCAAAACGGGACCACCCGGGTGACCGGCCTCCCATACCGCGACGACTTGTCGTCGCTGCGCGCCAAACTGAGCTGCAAAGATCTCCGATCAGCGCGGCGCGGCGCGTGCGGGGTTTGTTGGATCTACGTTCCGCCAAGCTGCCGTTCTGTGCGCTCGCCGCATCATGAACGGCATGTCCTGCTGCAGGAGGATCTGGACCTGAACAAAACACAACGCAACAACTCCGGAAACCGAATCAAAACCCCTGACATGCTGAGGCTTCGGACTAGCTCCTCGTCGCTGACTCCCCTCTGACGTGCGTTCTCCGCAGCATCAGGGTAGCCCATGCTGTGCAACCATCGAATCCCGGAGATGATCTCGGACATGACGCGAAAACTGGATCGCCAAGGCGCTCGGACCAGCTTAATTAACATGCCCAAGGTGTATAGCCTCTAGACTCTATAGACCGTCTTCCGTCCGATTGTTTCCCGCTCTGCGAGAATGAGAACAATGAGGCATGAACATACAAATTCCCGGTCAGAACTCTCTATGCTGCAGTGCTGTTGTGTGCCGCCTCCGTGCTGCTCATGTGTTATGCGAACTGCACTCGGAATGCTAATGTTTGAGGGAGGCGGGTGCGGAACGACAAGTCAGAAAGAAGCAGGGCCGCGGGAAGGGAGCCTACGGGTTTGGGACGCAGGGCTCTCGCAGACCAACCAGAGATCAAAGCCTACGTTCGGGGCCGAAGGGGTTGGGGTGCCCTGAACCAAACCTAAAGAAACCCCGGCGAAAGCACTCTAGCAAAATGTTGCTGCAAAAGTCGGCGGGCATAGCTAGAATACCGCTACAAAATGGAGAAAAAAAAAAAAAAACGGCATCAGTGAGCAAAGGCGAGCATCAGCTTTGGGGCCGGGATGGCCATCACTGTGCCATCACAGCTGGTCATGAGTAGGTCACACCACTCTGGCACCAAACAAGTCAGAAACAGTCCACAGTTCCCGGAGAGGCATTGTAACTTATTTGAGTATCTTCGGTCACACCACGAAAATCCACAGGTCGCTGGCCCCGACAGGGCGAAGGCGCTTGAGAACGTCTCGGCGCAAAAGCGTAAAGTGGTCATTATTCGCTGTTCTCGCCTGAATTCTGCAACTCGAGCCCCTAAATCCCGAAATCCTCAAACCTAAACCTTGTCCGGCCTCTTATGTGCACCACGGCGTCGCGACGAATGACCGGCCCGGGCCGGGGGGGCTTCAGGATTTAAGGACTCCAGGGCCAAAGTCTTGGCTTGATGAACAACAGCGTCAAGGCTTAAGGCCTGTAAGCCTATATGGGTTTAAGACTTCAACGGTTTGACCTTCATGGTTGTTCAAGCCCGCGGGCTGACCTGCCTTCCCGATCCCTTGTGTTGGCGACTTTTTGGCTTTGCCTCCTTGTCTTGTTTGCTCTGCAGTGCACGTCGCTCTCCCCGAATGTTTGATGCTTGCTGCTTTTGCTGCGGATGCCTTTCAACTGTTTATGGTGATTTTCCGTGTGTTTGTTTTGGTTTGTCTCGTGTCCCAAACTCTTGTTTTTGTCACTGTTGCCTGCGTTCTATGCTGGAAAAGCCGCTTTCACGCGGTGATGCCGGTGTGGCTGCTATTCCGGATGCCTTGTTTGTTTATATATATATATATATATATATACCATTTCGGTCTTGCCGAATTCTCTCTGATTTAATTCGTGCTGAGAAGAAAGTACCCATGCTCCAACCAGTGGTTATCCGCTCTGAAATGAAATGGGTTCACGCTCATGGGAGAGCGCTTTGGGATTACTTTGGAACAGAAGCAGCTGCATCCCTGGAGGTGTGCGCCGGCCGGCCCTTCAGGGTCACAGGGGTGGTGCTTGATTGAAGAGGTCACGTGTAAGTTTCTGGCCTGTTCGGCTTTGGGTGCATCGACGGAGTAGAAAACACAGTTACTCTGTTTCGTTCTTTAAAAGATTTCACCGTGTTCTCTCGGTGGCCCATTTTGCTGCTTCGATTATTCTCGCGGTCTTTGCTGCTTCACATTGAGTTGCCAGGTTTGCACCTTTACTTGTTTTCAGCTGTGTTTACAGCTTTGCATTTTTTCAGTGTACCCTTTTCGCTCGGTGGCCAGTTTTTGCTGCACCTTTTCTTGCTTCGCTGTTTATGTCGCGCAGTAGACTGCTTCATAAGTTTGCGTTTTCTCGTTGCTGTCATTTGACAGCGAGCTGCGGTAGTGCATCATACTGCCATGCAGTTTTAACTCGTTCATCGCTTTACCCATTTTTCCGTGCCGCAGGCATTGCACAGTGGCTTGCTTGTTTAAACATGTTTGCACGTTTGCCCTTTCACCGGGGTCTGCCGGCGGAAAAAATACGTTTCGATTTTTCCTGCTTTACGGTGTTCGCTGCGGGTGTGCATGTATAGGTCGCAGCGTGTCGGTTTAGATCGCGGCCGTGCAGCTCCCAAAAAAAGACCTTCGGCTCCTTTGCCTGGGCAGGCTGTGTGCGCAGAACCGTGAAGGCGCTGCAAACTCTGCACAAGATCGGCGTTCTGGGTCGAACAAGCCGTTGCCGTCTATGGATGCTTCGGACTAGACTTGAACTTTAAAGAAGCTGAGACGCGTCATCGAACATCACATCCCTGCGGCCCACATTTCACTCAAACTTACGCAAGTGCCTGACGAGCTGGAGATGGTCAGTCCGGCACCCTACTCGACGTAGCGAGAGAACTTGCGCCAGGCATGCTGGGCCGTCGTCACAGTGCTTCATGTCAGCAAAAAGCAGACCCTGAGCTCTGGCGACCTGTTTTCCCGTCTCTTCTGCAGATAAGCAATGAACCTTCAAGTTTTGAGAATCGCAGAATCCCAGCTAGTCCCAGGCTATGGCTCCACATGAAATAGTGGCAGCAGCGAAGGAATGCCTAAAAGCTGAAGCTCGATTACACAGCCCTACGAGTCAACAGCGAAGACTGCTAGACCAAATCCTCGAAACTGCATCTGTACAGGTAACCCGGATCATGGCATTCGGCCCTCCATAAAAGGATCTCCGGGCCAGACGGAGGGACTCTACCAGGAGTGACACGGTGCCCTTTGCCAAGTGCAGTGCGCTGAGGCGTGCAATGCGCAAAGGGATCGAAGAGTCCATAACAAGCCACGGCATCAAGCTAGCCGGCGAGAAGCATGGTCAAGCTCCGAGAAGGACAGCTAGGACAGCATGATGATTCTCACATGATTGGGCGCACACTTGCTGGGAGAAGGCTGAAGAAAGGTCGGGCACCAGGCAATATTCCCATGTTTCCAGAATCTTCTTGGATCACACCGTTACCACTGTCTGTGGAGCTGTTGCTGGCTTACACTGAGCATTCCATGGGTCATTTTTCCTGGTGCCAGAGACACGGCAATTCTGGCCTGTGCGTTCGCAACAAATCAGGCAGACAGCTGCGAGGATTCCCTGCGGGCCAGCTCTACACACCATGTTACACTGTTACACCTTACACACACACCTTACACACACACGATAATCGCTGGGGCTTGCACCCAGAATCAACACCCTTCCCCCCACAAGTACTCACTTCTACGACAACGGCCATAGATCGCTGGCCCTGAAACAGGGATCCTGTTGCTTGGGAAGGCCTGGCGAGGGCAATTCAAACGCCCCTGATAAAGCTCCACAGTTTCCAAGGTCCAACCGCGAAACTGCTAAGTTCGCATGGCTTGCTTGCCCCAAGATGAAAGCAGGGTGTTTATGAATTCGACGCTCGAGGCTCGCAAGTGTTTCACGTCGTATGCTCTCATCTACTGCTTAATCTCCTGCCGCAGCCAATCCTTCCCATCACTCTCAGCTTGTGAGTTCATCACACAGAACCGATGCAACAGCAACGGGACTCTACTGAAAGACCTGGCATTGCGAAACCCATCTGCTGAAGGAATGGGATCGCTCTGATCTTCACCTGCCATGGTCGCAAGCTGGCACAGGCGAAGTGACGGTCGCGAAAGACAAATGATCTTGCGCAGTCTTTCAGGAAGATCATGCTAGCGTATGACATCAACGCCTCTATCAATGCCTTGAGAACGGTCCAACAAATTCCTTTGCATGGGCGTCACAGCTCGAAGGATCCTGAGTCGCTCGCTTGAGATCCCCGAGCCGCCACTTCAAGGCACCGTGATGCGAGGAGGCAAGCAGCTCCTCACCTGCCGGCTTACCGAACATCAGGCGCAGCATGTCCGCAAAACCCATGTATACTATATTATACTATCATATACTATATAATATACCATAATATACTATAGTACACTATAATATACTATCATATACTATAATCTACTGTAGATACTATAATACACTATATTATACTGTATTAACTCCCAGGATCCTGGGCCCTGGGGCCCTGGGCCCTGGGCCTTGCGCGTCGAAGGAGAAGCGATGGCTCATCTTCTCGTGCGGGAGGCGCACCTGGGAAGTCGACTCAAGCGCGAAACGAGCTCGGGACCGAAGTCCACATGTCATCGTTCATGCTGCAAGAACCTACAGTAACCCAATAATGCTTTCAAGGGCCGACTCTGTTTGTTCTGTCCGTGTGATTGGTTCCATTCAGTGTGCAAGCCTGGTGAAGACAGCAGCGCATTGTGAAAACATCCGTGGTGTCTGCAGTGTACGCCACACACACAAACACAAGACGCAGTCCCGCCACGGCAGCTGGAACTCCGACTCCCCGTATACTGTATAGGTAATCTGCATACTGCACAGCCACACACAAGGCCTCACCGAACCTTAACCTCAACCTACATCCGAAACTCAAAACTTCAAAGCCTCAAAACCTTGAGCGCCCCCAAGCCTCCACCCTCAACCCGCACTTACCCTCAGGCCACCTCAAAGGCTTCCGGCTTCCCGGCCTCCCCGGCCGGAGTCCAAGACTTCCCATGGAGGTCGGCCTCGAGGACGACGACCTGCATGAGCTAAACACTCCAAAAAAATGAAGTTGGGGAGTTGGGGAAGGGAGGATTAGTTCCTGTGAGCCCACAATGGAGCATTTGGAATAGCCAGGTTTGGGGAGTTGGGAACGCAAGGTTTTCTTGTAGAATGACGGATGTCTTGTCGGCCCGTTCGGTGACTCAGCTTGAGCCGCGCCTCATCTTCGCCTTGTGCGGAGACAGCAGCGCGGAAAGATCCTGGAAGTTGTTTTGTTATGGGCTCTTCTCCGTCTGCAGATCCTGGAAGTTTCGTTTACAGGATTTCCTTCCTTCCCGGATGCTTTCTTTCGATCCAAGCGATCCATGGTGATGGATACGCTAGAGGAGAGTTGGTGGCCGCACGGATGGGGTGGAATGAGCCAGGATGCTCCTGGATGCCTAAAGTGCCTGCGCCAGTTCGGAGGTGCTACTAGCAGCATGGCTGGCACCCCACCAGAATCATCGTCGTCATCATCACGTGCTTCTCGAACTGCCGTTGTCTCTGTTGCTGTCTTGAACATTTCTTGCGGAACGTTGCCATCTCGACTTAACTCTAAATCTGTTTCCCCTATAAACCATGAACACTATAAACCCCTTGAAAGGGCGCACACCTGGCAAACCCTAACTACAAGTCCTAAACCCCTCAGGGCCCCCGGACCGCCGGGAAGCCGAACGGCGGCAGCGGCCGAAAGGCGGCCGAAGGGCAGCCGATCGGCAACCTGGACGCCACGCTTCTTCGTGATTTGTTGGGTAGTAGGGGTAGTAGAGTCATGATCACGGTCAGGAGTAGGAAGAGCCCAATTTCAATCTTGGCGATGACGATATTGATTTTGGTGACGACCACTTGATGGGCTCGGTCCGCAAAACTCCCAAAGCTTGCTTGCAGAGTCTTTTTGTCGTTAGTCTTTAGGACCTTCTTTAAGACCGGACCAAAAGTGCGGGTTCAAGCATTTTCACCTGCAACGTTTCCTAAGTTTCCTCTGTCGCCGACTCTTCCCATGCAGTTGTTCCGTGCTGCTTTTCGGTGGCTTTCCGGCCTGTGCCCTTAGCCATCGAAACCTCGTGTTTTCAACTTCCCGCCTGCTGGCAGGGCCACCGTCCCTGCTCAGGCAGCCCGCTGCACTCTGCGACGGAACCCGAGTCTGTGGCAACCTGCGACGCGGAGCTACAAGCTTGGACCTAGACTCCAATCAAGCTCTTCATTCATGAGGTCCCCCTGGGACTTTGGAATTTCCGAAGAGCTCCCAAAGGCCACAGGGGGGTCGCGCCAGAAGGCCGCGTGGCGTCCAGGAGGCCCCGAGCACCGAGCCCAAGGTTTGAAGCCCTGGCATCAGTGGGCGTGGACGATTGCTATCAACACATCAATTCTGTGGAGGGCCAGGAGTCAACTTAGAGTTAGGCCCCAGTGGAGTAGGCACAGTCAGTCACAGTCGCAGCAAGAGCACAACAGTGATGTTGGCATGAGCGGAAGCGCAATGGTGGTATCTGTCATCGACATCGTCGTTGTAGTACTGCTGTCACTGCTGCTTGTAGCATTGCAGCAGTAACGAGTCGCGACGGCAGTAGTTGCAGCAGCCCCCGTATCAGTGCTGGCAGTACAAGTGGTCGCAGTCGTAGGGGTACCAAACTGGTGAGGAGCAGGCAAGTCCGGCCTTCAAGGATGAACTTGCTATGGATCTTGGTGGAAAGCTTCAGAGAAACCTGCCAGTTCTCGGGGCGAGCGTGCGGCTCACAACAGGATATCAGCAAGCATCATTCTTGATAAGATAATGATAAGATAATGACACTTGCTGACTGCATGCAGACGCTGACAGGCACTGGCACTGTTTCAGAACCTTTGCTGTCACTTTTGTCGTGGTGGGGGCGGGTTGGTCTTGGCGATGGTGGCGGCGATGGTGGTAGGCCGAAAAGCCATGATCATGATGATGACGACCACGGCGATGATGATTTCCGAAAACGATGATGATGATGACGATGATGACGATGACCATGACGACGAAGACGATGACGAAGACGATGATGCGTGTGGCGGTCCCGGCTTGAGAGTGGATAAAGCAGGTCGCGGGTGTCGTGGTGTTATACACTTGGTGAAACATAGGTGATGCTGGAACTGTGCCTACACAAACACCACTCCTCCCCGCCTTTCACTACTGCCATGCAAAAGAATGAGAGCAAGCGTTTCATGCTTTTACAGAGCTCCAACATGCGGCACAAGGCCTCCTTCGGCAAGTGGATGAGGGCTCCGTGCCCTGACATGGGGCTCATCATGGAAAATCCGAGCAACGCGAGTCATGTTCATATTGCATCTAGCGAGTAGCTTGCGAGTGGTGTGAAGTAGTCGCAGAATGACGCGTCAGGATGATAAGAGTGCCGATACTCGCAAGTATTGACAAACTCGCAGTCACATCGTTGGAAGCAGCGCTTCAGTTCCCTTGCTGACTGGCCTTCGTGGGAGAGGGGCCGCAGCAGATCCTGCAAGGAAGCTCGAAAAATGCCCCCATCGTCATGGATGCGTTGCCTTGCTTTCATATCTTTTATCATCCCCTTGCACCCTTTGTGCGAAGGTCGCCTCTGCAAAGGCGGCCACGCCGCCATGGAAGCCTCGGGAAGAAGGGCGGACTCGGCTCTGTCCATCCGTTCATGCAACGGCTGCTCGAGCGAGCTCCAAGTCCGAATCGGAGAGGAACCCACAAGCACTGCCACTGCCAGAGCGAAGCTCGCAGTCTGGGATGCTTCTGGCGGAGCTCTGGGAGCCGCACCCGGGGCGTGGGATGACACCTGCGAAGCAAAAAGCTAGCTGTTGGCACTGCTGGCCTCTTGTGAACTCCAGCTGTCTTCGAGGCAATGCGCCTCCTCGCGCTCCTCCAGCGCCTGCTGCAGGGCACGGCTCTTCGCACTCTTTGTTACGTCGTCAGCACTCTTGGTTAGGTCGTCACATCGAGGGCCAGGCACGAGAGGGGCTGTTCTTCAGTCGTTAAGACGATAAGTCGTCTCATCACACTGACATGGTAAAGAGCTCGAGCCAGCTGCATGCGCATGATCTCCCCATGCAAGAGCTCTGCAAGCAACTGCACCTCCTAATGTCCATGAAACACCACATCTCCATCATCTACTCGAGCCGGGACCACCAAAACTCCTAAAGCCTAAACTGCCCTAAAGTAGGAACCTGATTAAGAAACGCTGGCCCTATAACCCCAATATAGTAGGATTCATATAAGGAACCCTGATAAAGACCCAAGGTTCCTCCATTAAACTGTCAACCCCTTAGCGCAGAAAGAAGGTGATCTCACATGCCCGGGCCCGAAACCCGCGGTACCTCGGCCAAAGCTCCCAAGGATGCGGCGAGGCGCTCGGCGACGGCCGAGACCTCCACCGAAGGGACGTGAAGAAAGCCGTGTAGGCCCCACAGTAGTTCCTTTTTGGGGATTTCCTTATAGGATTCTAAATATGAACCCCCACAAAGGAACTACTGCGGGGCGGTAGCGGGGTCTCGGCCTTTTCACGCCTCATGTTGTCTCTGCCACGTTGCTCTGATACTCTGGGTCGTGGGAACCGCGGCTGCTGTGAGAGTGGCCCTAAGAACAGCTAAGAACGTGTTTCCGGACTAGCTGGGCTGCGACCCTACTGCCCAGCTGAAAAAGTTCTCCCTGTGCCCCTGTGGAGAGCTTGAGAAGTCTTCAAGCAACCGTCTGGCTCAGCGTGGCCTTCTCGTCCTGCCGGACGAAGTACGGTTGGTCCTGGCGCGGCGTCGCTTCGCAAGAGAGCCTTGCTCCGCTCTTCCCTTCCGCCCTGTCCATCAGCCGGCGATCTGAGCCACCGGTGTGGGCCCATTCGTTGCCTTAGCTCCAATTCTCAAGGGCACCCAAGAAGGGAGAAGTTCTCCGGCCGGGCGCGGCACGCGTGCCGTTGCGGGTCCAGGGCGTAGTCCAGGGCTGCATGTGGGAGGGCCAGCGCCTGATGCCAATCTGCACGGATCTAAAGGCCTTGCTAGAAACGGGCGCAGCACTGTTCCCGAGTGCCCGACATCACGCGCCCCTCCTGCTTCAGCAGCTGCCGCTCGCCGTGCACCTGCAACAAAGGATCAGGATCACGGCAGAATCTCTCAGAGACATGATACAAGATAGATTATGTAGCACAATACATAAAGCATAGATAAATCATAAAGAGCAAATGTAACATGTGGCATAGAATACATGACGTGCATAATCAAAATATTCTGAAAATCGCAAAGATATCTGGCTCCGGTGCGAACCCGCGAAGCGCTGACATACACTAACACTGTGCTAACCTTTCTTAACGGCCCCGACCTGGTCGAAGACGCGGCCGAACATGATGAAGATCCACAGGCCTGGGTTGTGAACCACGGCACTGTCGTCGAAGGCTCAGGGGCAGACTGCAAGTAGCAGCTTCTCGACTGGATATGCTATACACACACAGAGACACACACAAGCACCACATTGTGCGTGCATGTGTCTGTGCACGCTCCACCGCCGTCATTACCCTTAGCACCCTTGTCACCACCATCAGACATCATCAACTGTCAACCTCTTGACCGCGGTCATCAGGAGCATCATAACAAAGAAGAGCATCAGCTACAGCAGCCAGAAACCATGATCGGCTGCAGACATAGATCAACATCATTCTGTTCTTAGTGGAACCCTCCGCTTTCGACCCATATGCCACGGAGCCCTGCAGTGTGTCTCTAGCAACTCAGAACAACAAGCCTCCCTTCTAATTCCTGCTGGCCCGGCTGATGTTGGTGAGGATGGCCCCACGGAAGAGCTTCCACGGGTAGAGCATGGGGCCGGCCTGATCGATGGATCGGGAGTATAGAGGTGGCGACTGGAGTCTCACTCGAGGAGTCGCTGCATCAAGAACAACTTACAAGCTTACACGAAGAGGCGTTTGCGAAGAAATCGATGCAGGAGGGCTTGGATGCGTGACTAAGCCTCTGCGCGGCGGGGCCTCGCGGGCCTTCTTTTGTGGCACAGTGGCTCCCTTGCCGCCCTTGGCTGCCTTCATCTCCTGGAGGGCTCAGAGCCAGGCTCAGCTCGGACAGCGAAGGCAAATCAGCCAGAAAGGACCCTGATGCGAGTCTGCCGCAGTCTGCGCCTGCTGCAAGCAAACGTTTCCAGGTTCGAGCTGCTTCGGCGGTGCCACGATGTAGACAGTGCTGGCGAACCTGGCAATCGCAGCTTCGTCGCAGCCCCTGTTGCACCCTATCCGCTGCCACAACTGAACTTGCTCTTTCATCGCACGGCCATAAGTTTAGCTTTTGCTATGCTGAGGCTGCAACGCACGAGGCAGCCACCTGGGATCGTGAGCTGCGGGTCTCAATATTCCCAATAATCTAGAGAAGCACTTTTACTGGTTCAGGAGGAGAGGAGTGTGAACAAGTCGACCGAGCTCTCTCTGTGCCTACGATCGGCAATAGAACTGTGGCCCCAGTGTCTAAGAACGATGCGCTTTAGTGCATCGCGTGAAGCGAAGTGGACAAAAGATCGAAGAAAGCCCGAACTCGGGTCATCGCCACTCACCGGGCGTCCATGGCTTGCCGGCAACCTCGGGCGGATCTGCCTGAGTCAGGGCAGGCACAGTCTGAGGCTGTAGCCGTTTCGAGACATTGCAGGGAGACTCTGGAAAAAAGAAACACGCGCGCAGGCCTGCGGATGCGGCATGGCAAGCTCGAAAAGCCTGCATGTGAAGAGACTAAGGTTTGGGTCGACAGAAAAACACAGCAGCTGAATGACTGATTGGGATCTCGTCCCCTCTCGGATAGGATCTTGAAGATCAAGTCATCAGGGTGATCGCTCACCCAACCCAGGTGGCCGATAGCAAGGGAACTTCCCAGTCGCAGCTTTACAGCCCTACCAGGAATCTGGGCAAGCCTCAAAGCCCATACGAAGTGTATGATGTACGCCACCCATGCGATGACGTAGATGAGCGCGATCCATCCTACCGAAGTGCGGCTATTGCTGGACTTGCAAACTGAGCAGAACATATAGATCATTGTAGGTTGAAACGCCAGTTGGTCCGATGCAGGCTTTCGGATCTGCACCAAGGACGGCGCTTAACTGCAAGTATCGAGACCTCGATGGCTAGTACAACGCAGTGCAGCGGTGCGCTTGGGAACCGGACCGTCGTTGGGCACCAGCACGGAGTAATCCAGGCTCATAGCAGCCACCAGGAGAATCTGAAGCGGCGAATGCGGAGAGTCTTGAATGGCTGTTGTGGTGATGGTCTCCGGTACAAGCGGATCATGACTGCTGTGCTGCTCATGGGAATCTGAGTCAGGTACCGGCGTGAAGGGCACGGCATTTTCAATGGGAATCTGCGCCAGGAACTTGCTGTCGGACTCCTTGGGACTGCGAAAGGCTTTTACACCTCGGCAACACTTGAGGGGTGCTCGAATCTCAAAGGCTTGACTCAAAGCCCGAAAGGGCTATGAGGGTCTTTTGAAGACAGGTTTACGGCTCCCGTCCTCTTGGATGTCCAGTTTCAGCATGCACCAATGCGCCACACAGAAGACCGTGCTCGCGCTCCAGGCCGGCCAGATCTCAGAGAGAAACCCTAAACCCTAAACCGTAATGCCCTATCCCCGTCCGTAAAGAAGGGAACTTACAGATTACATATATTATGACATAAGGGATAAAATGTGTTGCAGGCTCAAACACACAGCTTGGCAAGGAAATGGCTTTGGGGGGTTGATGATGTCTGGGGTTTCGTCTAGCCAAGACACTAAACCACCTCAATGTGAAGCTTTACATCTCGAAGCAGGAAGCCCTTCCGGGTTTCAGCTACGCCTACATTGCACACCACGTCTTTGAGTTTAAAGGCTAGGACCTGGGGTACCACTGCGACGAGGCGCTCTGGCCTTCACTTGAGTCTTCGCGAGAGTCTTTACAGCACCACTATGCAAACTACCCACGTTTACTGGGCTTATGTACTGAAAATAATACGAATGATAACAACAATGAAAACCATTAATTATGAATGTAAACCTAAACCCTAAGCCCTGAACATCACTGGACGAATATCAGGCCGGGGTGGCCAGTCCCAAAAATTCACGTAACGGCTGAGAAGCATGCAGCCGGAAAAATGAAGTCTCCGGGGTCAAGTAAACCCTAAACCCTAAACCTACATGAATGGCCACCATAAGCCTAGCCAAGGGTTAACATTGCTGAAGAGTGGCTACTTCAAGGGTAGGAGGGCACCTGGAGACGAGTGCCACTACGAGTCCAGGTCCTAAGCTGGAAGAAACCGGCCCGGATCCCGGCTGCGCGCAACTCGCCGAAGCAATGGCACTGAGTGTAGATCGCCGCCTCAAGGCCATGAAGGAGTCTCCGAGGTCATGGACGGGGGGGGCCGGACTTGCATCCATGTGGCGCTGGTTTCAGTGCTTCGACCCAACACGTCAAAGTCTCAAGATTCCGGATGCACAACAGCCCGGAAGCATCCGGGGGGATGGCTGCCGTGATCCAATGGGAGAAGAAATAGAGGATGCCAATGCGAGCGTAGCAGTCGTGCACGGCCCATTCCTGCAGAAGGGCGTCGGAATGCCGACGAATTAGAAAGCCGGCGGCGCTCTCGGCCTCAAGGAACCACCGAGGGACCCTATACTTGCGGCTCCTGTTGCAGGCCGCGGTAGAGCTCGAAGTGCTCTGGATTCGCACCTGCTGCAGTCCGACAAGTGCTCAGGGCTCGTGATATCTCTATGTCTGCCACAGGTGTCTTAGTTCGATGCTTGCGTTCCGCACGAACCTTCCCAAGCCTCCGCAAGGCCTGAAATCCCAATTCCCTGCACAGCTTGGGGTCCAGGCCCCGGGTGGCCGCCGGTGCTCCACCTTTGGAGCTGTTGAGATCCTCACAAAGCTTTCAGGGTTTAGGATCCACACGGGTGGGATTGGTTGGTTCCCTCTTTGCGGGCTCTGATATATATATATATATATATATATGTAGATGTAGATGTAGATGTAGATGTAGATGTAGATGTAGATGTAGAGGTAGATGTAGATGTAGATGTAGATGTAGATGTAGATGTATATATATATACACATATAGTAACAACCTTGCATCATCCCACCGCCTGGGAAAGTTTTGGCATTCTTTGTACCCTGACCATCCTGACATCCAATGCTTGCTCGCTTACTTGACAGAAGCTTCATGCTCCGTTGTCGCCCGGCCCACCATGCAACACCCAAGTATCCGAGCTTGTTTACATTTCAGTTCCAACAGGAGCAGCACACCTAGTCCAGCGGAAACACAGTCATTCTCCACAAAACAATCAGCAAATTACACCACCTCATGCATCAACCGGAAACCACTGCATACATATGTGCTAGTCGCGAAAAGGCTCCAGAAAATGCACGTTACGCAATGTTTGCCCAAAATCTGCGAGCATTCATCAATGCTCCGGTCGATGAATGTCGTTAGGAAGCCCATCAGGGCCTGAGTGGGGACAGAATCCGGATCGAAACAGAATAGATCCAACAAGGCCTGACAAAGCTCTGAAAAGGTGCAACAATATCGTCGCAGTCGCAGTTGTCGCTCACAGAGACGATGTCAACATTGTCATCGTCATCAACACTCCACCATAATCATCCGTAGAGATTGGTCAGAAGTGAAGCGGCTCAGAGAACGCTGCGGTGTCAGTTAAACGAACTGTTCTGAAAGCGTCTCCTCAAGCTCAAGCCCTGCAAGCGTCGCTCCTTCGTCTCGTCCTGGTACCACTTCGGCATCCTCGCAGTACTCACGACACTCAGGGCACAAGGATAACACAGCCTTGGTCACGGCCACGGCCACGGCCATCCACGAAGAAGAACAACAAGACTCGAGTCTAGAACCAAAATTGTCTGACCGCCGCAGTTTCCATTGCTGGGCGTTGCAGTGCTGGCGTGAGAACCGGCTTCGAGTGTTTGCACGGCCGGAGGACAGTCCTGCGCTGGGTGCCGCTCTTTCCCGGAGCTGCGGTGTTCTTTTTGGCCTCCCAGATGAGACGGCTGCAGCTACAGCACTTGAGGACTTCACACCAAAACACATCACCCTCGCACGAGAACGAAACCCAAGAGATGCAAGGAAGCGGAACTTCTCAGTGAAAGGCCGGGTCGGCACCCTCCTCCGCAGAGGGTTCCTGGCAAGGCTTGCTTCTGCCAGTCTACCAGTTCTTGTCTGAGCCCTCCGTCGGTGCTTTGAGCTGCATCACACTCTTTGAAGTAAGAAAGACTCCGCGGATGTGCTTCGCCATCGTCTCTCGGCTTTGACAACAAATCCGATGCAGTCAACTCCTGGCGACTTTCCCAAGCCCGGGCCGCCTTGGGTGCAGGCACCACGAAGGGAACGCGGAAGACGTCCGTGACCCGTTGCTTCTCAAACCTCGCTGGCTCAAGCCCTCTGGGTTCAAACTGACCGGAGGACTGTGCATCCACTATGCGCGCACGAAGGCTTCGCGCAGGCAGTGTCTGAAAAGCAGTTTACATGCACGCATACATGCATGCATCCATGCATCCATGCATCCATGCAGACAGACGGACACGCATGCAAGAATGTTTGCAATCATCTTGTATGCATGCATGGGAGGGAGCTAGGTTTCAGCCCCCTCGCCCACCCCACCGAAATGGTTGCAAAACTCCCGACAAAACCTGATCTGTCAAGCAAGCTTAACCCAGATGTCAAACTGAAGTCGTATGAGCGTGTTTCTTGCGGAGGCAAACCCCCTCCGCCCCTCACTGCTCGCCAAGAAAAGGACCACATCCGATGCCGCGATTCTGCATGCGCAACCCAGCCCCATCCGAGAAACTGCTTTTGGGTCCAAGTCACATGTTTCCAGTGCGTCGCGCCTGCACATGCTCTGCTGGCGTCGAGCACGACTCTACATCGCTAGATACATAATAGATAGCACAGGTAATCTGATGTGTAGAGTCTTAGGTGGGATGTGAAGCTACTGCTGCTGACACCGACGTCTCTCCGCGCGACAGTGCAAACAATTCTCACACTGCTGACCCCAAAAGAATCAATCAACTTGAATCCTAGGCAGTCTTCCGCCATAGTCAAGAACGCCAACGGCAACGACACCATCGCCACAGCATGGCATACGCATACTTGGCAACTCCGTGCCTTGTCAAGCTGCTTGGGCGTAGGGATGGGCAGACGCACCTTGGAGAATTTGCAACTCCTGGAATGGAAGGTTTGGGGTGTTGGGAAATCTTCGCGCCGGCTGTTTTCCTAAAAATGAAGCTGCGAAGATGAACATACTGGCGTTCCGTGCTTTTGGTAGCAATCGCACAGCTCCTATCATCTCTGCAAGCATTGCAGTCTCAACACAAAAAGTCCAAATAATTTCTGAGCAAAGACCAACAGAGGACGCCACGCTGCGCGTCAACATGTGGGCCATGCCAGCGGTGGCGCGGGCTGATGCCTCATCTGTTCCAAGTACACCAAGCACAGGGCAGGCAATATGCCCAAAGGAACCATCTTCTCCGGAACACTCTCGTCCTATGTTTGCTCCGACGAGCTTCCAATATCTCAACGGAGAAGCCCGTCGTAAGGCCACAGCAGACTACTCTTCGTGTGACTATGCCCATTGTGATGACGTGAGGATGGTTATGACGATGGCGATGAGGACGAGGATGATGACGCATGAGGAGGAGGAGGACGGGAGGAGGAGGAGGAGGAGGAAGAGGAGGAGGAGGAGGAGGAGGAGCTGGAGCATAAAGGAGGATGCAGGAGGGTGGATGGTGAAGATACAGGCGGCTCAGGACGACGACGCACAGTTTCCAGAGGTTCCCTTTGGGCCGGCACGTGCAGGGTGAACCAAATGAGCACGCAGAGGAACATGAGAGCCTCGTGGGCATGGCGCAAGTTGCTCCCAGACTTCATGGCCCGCACATGCCTCCTAGGCTGTGAGGCAAAAGCCACGAGCATTGAGACTTGTCCTCACAAGACCAAGGCGGCAAGAGCCAAGGGCCAGGCACTTGTGGAGCACACCCAGTAGATCCCTTAGTCGGGGCCACGATCAGGTGAGGGCTTTCAAGTGGCCTAGTCACCTAGTCGACCAGCCCCAGCAGCTGAATGAAGCGATCCAAGGGCACTGGCCGAAAATCCTTCACGTAGAGTTCTGAGGTCCTGGCCCATGATATACCCAGGAGGGGAGGGGCCGTGGACGCCGAGACCTTGGAAAAGCCGAGCACTGAGAAGTCGCCAAGCCCCGTCTCACATCTGTCGATCAGAACACACGTTCTTGTACGCTCCAAGCACTTCTGGTTCAGAGTAGGATCCCGGACGTCCAGCCATGATCAATTGGAAGTTCAACACGAAAAAGATCACGCCGATCACATGGTAGGTATCCTCGGCTTGATACATTCGCAAACGCGGGGTTGGCGATCTTCCTGACTTCCTCATACTTGCCGGCCCAATCTGCTCAGCAATAGAGTGTCGGTGCAACAGAAGAAAACCTAGCAGACATCATTTGCCCCAGCGCATCAGCATCTCAGCTCTGCACCATCTTGGTAACGGTCAGGGCTGTGAGATCTCGGATATCTTGTCGGTACTGCGTTGCCTGTGCTTCAACTCATATTTCACTGACTCACTGTCGCAGAACGTACCTTTGGTTAGTAGGGAATGGAGGAATGGGGTACAATGAAAACAACTATTGCTACCAGTCTTCCATTCCCGTCAAAGGTAAGAGGAGCGCTCCTTTTTGCCCACTTCCCGCCCTTTGCCTGGGCCATGGCAAAGTTGTACCCTGCCGTGTACCGGGAGAATCGTAGGCCGGCATCGAAGAGGTAGTTGGCTCGGTTGTACCTGTGCGAAGCAACAGTCCACAGACCAGAGATTGCAGATGGAAGCGTCCTCCATAAGCAAGAGCCTTCTCTTGAGAAGCGTTCCGCGCAAGCGGTCAACGGCTGTTGCACACTGAAGCGAGGGCGTCTGAAGTGCTCATGACCCTGAAAACTTTGGAAGGGGGCGTGAAGGCGCCGGTGGCTGCTGCCGTTGCTGCCGCCGAAGCCTCGGAATCTTTCTTCGGAGAACACCGAGTTGGCCTAGATTGGAACAAGGTGAACAAAGGACCACAACAATAGAAACACACCAAGACGGACGCCTCACTTTTGCAAAAAAAGACGCACGGTAGATGCGGGTAAGTTGGCCCGAGTCGGATCGGTGAATCGGTACAACCTGAAAGATGTTATGCCATTCTGGACTCCTTACTGCAACTGTCACACTCAATGCTTGTTGCGGTGAGCATGGCGGAAACTGCCATGATCAATGCCGTTGTTGTTGTCGCTCATGCCATCATCCCAAAACCAGGAATGTTTGGACACAGAAGACTCTGGGCGACCGCACGGCGGCTCCCGACGCAAGCACGGGCATGGCGGCCTAGCAGCTGAGTTGAGACTTGACATGGCGAGCTCTTCGACAGATATGTGGGCACACAGCTGATACGAATCCTCGGCCGCCGACCTAAAGCTTTGGAAGGCTGCACACTGCACAACACCTGTCACAGGTGCTGCTGCAAGAACGGGAACCAATGCACCGCGAATGCATCTGCTGGCAATTTTTGGACATTGGCAAAGTGTTTTTGAAGAAAGCAGGAACTGCGATGCGCACAGCGGAGACAGACTGCAGATAGCAGCGTCTGGCTTCGACAAGGCAAACGCATCGAAGAAGCTCTACAACAGCACAACGTCTACCCACACTACTCTGAGACTCTGCTCTTGAAGCCCTGCCTCTCTCGGGGCCTGCTCGTGGCCGGCTCCCTTCGAAGCGTCCGACACGCGGCCGCTCGAGCAGAAGCGGTGAAGCGGCGAAGATCAGCGTATTGTGCAACACAGGGAGGGCATTGTCGGCTTCGGGCCAGAGTTTAGCCCCTAGGGGTTTAGAGCGCAGGCGACAGTGATCGACAGTGGCTATGGGGATTGCAATGTATGGGGATTCGAGAGCTTCACTTCCACCACAGGGCAGAGCAGCTCATTGTTTTCGGCATGTCGCTGAACTCATCTTTACCTCGCAAGCCCCGGAGATCAGAGCTGTGCCAGCACGCTCACGGAGCCTGGCAGAGGCTCGACCCGCCCAGAAGTTCTACGGAACCAAATCGAAGTCACCTGTGTCCTCTGAAAGCCTAGAGCTTAGATTTCCGTTCCTGGCTGTTGCTGATGCTCATCTCCCCAAGTTTGAGAGCCTGTCTTTTCTTTCGTGGAAGTCAAAGCGGGGACGCTAGCAAGCCGAGCTTGGAGGCCAGGTTCCGCAGCCTGACAGCGATGAGCTTGGAGAGGAGTTTGACTCGCTCCACTTCCTTGAGGAGCACTTCCCTGCTGTCCCTCTCTCGATTCTCGAGGGAGAGCCAGAGCCGGAGCAGATGTCGCCGGAGTTTCGGGTCCTCCTGGTCTTCGAAGGGACCACGGGCATGGACAATGTAGTGGTTGCTAATATCTCCTGGCTGGAACTGCATGGTAAGCTGGATAGCCGGATCATTGGCAATCTCGTCATAAACCTTGATCGCCTCCAGCGTCGTAGGATCGATTTCAGGCATGAAGTCGTAGTCCCACACCGATCGATAGTAGCCGGTGTGCCAGAAGGTCTTCAGATCCCCCTTGTAGTAGCTCACAGGCCTGATGGGCACGTGCCTGGTGCCTCCATCGCCGCGGGTGTCCAAGTAGAAATCCTCGTAGAATCGAGGGATGAGGTCTGGTCGCCTTTTGAGCATCTCGTTGTAGATAGTAACACTGCTGGCGATCCGAGATGCACCTCCTTTCTTAGCAGGTCTCAAACACAGCAAACCGACCACATCGGCAGCATCGCAGTGGAAGAAGATGTCTTCATTAGTACGGTACTGGCGCTCGTGCAAGCCGGTCGTGTTCTGCCCATGGTATTCATTACGGACGTGGCCCAGAAGTTCTCCACGCCCAGACTGGGCACCAGGAATGCCCAGCAATTGACCCAAGGACCAAAAGAAGAGCTCCGACTGATGCTCGGTCCACCGATGCGTCGGCACTCCACGCACTACCACAAAGCCAAGGCCATCGTGCTGCCTAGGGTTCAGCTCATTACGCCAAGAGTCGACTTTGGCAATGAACCTGTCCGAATATTGCAGGTCTGATCTACGCAGCTGGTCGATGCTCTTGCCACTCTTGTCCAAACGCTGAATTTCAAGGTCAAGGTCTTCAGCATCTTGGGCCGTTAGACTGACCATCCAATCCTGGGGCTCAAGTACCCCTCCAAGCCAAGCTGCTCGTCCTTCGATGGGATCCATCCTGATCTCACCATCGTGAGGTCGCGAGAAATAGTTCAAACTCTGCAGAGTGATCGTCCTATGGGACCGCCCTTGGGCAGAAATCACGGCATAGCCAATAGCCACCGCCAGGACCAGCAGGCTCCAAAACAAAAACCCCATGGCATCACTGTGTTGCTGCTATCTCTTCACGGCCTGGCTCTCCGAGATGACCGATGCCCTACTCTTGTTTGGCAGCCCGCGGCCATGGCGACACTGAGCCAGGGGCTTCTTCAGGGAGGAATGAAGAAGGCTTCTGGGGCTGGCGCAGAGTTTCGTTCACAGGCTCTAAGTCCAGCAGGAGGTTGCAGCCGCAGGGGTGCCCCTACCTGCCCTGTCAAGCGTTCGTTGGAGAAGAGGTGGTGTGTCCTGTCTTTGACCGAGAAGACAAACTACAGTATCGTTTTTGGCTCAGCAGCCGCTTCAGCGAGGATGCAGGAATCTTTCCCGCTACCCTCGAACATCCTGACAGGCAAAGACATGTCTTGCAACACGCCACATCGAAAGACCACGCAGGAGTGCCGAACAGGGCGAAGGCAATGTCTCCTGACCCATGTCGACAACGACTCCAGGCATCTGTTTACCCCTGCCTACGCAGAGGCAAACTTCCTAAAGAAACGGCCCTTCAAAGCGCCGCTCTGTTACGATTTGTAACGAGGGGTGACTGGGGAAAAAGTGGCCGTGATGGGCGCCCCCCTGTTTCTTTTAACGGAGGGCACCCTGGCCGGAGCACCCGTGGCACGTACCGGGTCACTTCCTTCCGGCTCTTTCCGGAAGTGTCAGGAGAACGCACCGCGGAAACTCGAGGGCTCTTCCAGCCACTCAGGATTTCGAGTTTAGGATTCATACTGTTTCGGATCCAGGTCATGATGGCAACTTCTGACTCTACTCTTGGGGCTTGTGCTGTCACTTCTTCTTAAATCTGAAAGGTCGATCCTTCGCTGTCCTGGCGCTCAACGATGTCTCCGGGAGGACCTGGGCAGTGGGAGCAAGAGAAACAGCGAGGTCCGTGATGCGACGACAAGCCGGGCTGTGATGCCAACATGCTCAGAACCACAGCAGTCACTGAAGGATCCGCCATGACTGCCACATGTGGCATCATCATCACCATCATCACTATCACAGTCATCATAATCATCAGCAGCGATTCATATTGATCACGGACGCTATGGAGGGCATCATCAGCAGCTTCGGTTCCTGAGGCCGGTGCAGCAGCGTCCTGCTTCCACTTCCATCTCTTGCAGGCCCAGGCGGCCCAGGCCACCCAGGGAGAAGACGCCGAAGGTGGCCACCAGGGCTCCGAGGAAAGGAAGCAGCGGAAGCAAGCTTGTCTCGCTCGTGGCAAACATCGAGAGCTCGAATGGAATCCAGAGAAGCAGCAGCAACGCCAGGCCACTAAGAACCAGCACTGCGACCACCGCACCCTTCCCCCAGGCCTCACACCTTTGTAGGCTCAGACCTACCCTCCAAAGAAGTAGTGACAGCCTGGTGAAGAAGACGCTCGCAACTCCGACGATTGCCCAGTCCAGAAGAAGCCTTATGCTTTTGGCGAAGAGCTCGAAGCCGAAGCCAGATCGACCTTCTTCAAGCCAGAGCGGAATGTAGAGCGACAGGTACGGCAGGCAGCAGCTGCCGACCATGTACCTGGGCTGGACAGGCCCTCAGCAGAACACGGCAAGTGCCCCGAAGTTTCGATATTACCGCAGGGTCTCTGCAGTTCCCAATTCTGGTGATTCCAGGCAAAATAGCAACACAGCTCTGCTCAAGCCTAACACTTGGATGTACTCGCATGCTGCGCAGACACACGGTGTATGGAAGCGGCAGCGTGCTCGCCCCCAAACCAGAAACGACACGGGGAGCAAGCTGCTTGCGCACCATGGCATTGAAAGACTCCAAGGCATCCTCCGGGTTGGAGATATCAGCGCGACCAACTCAAGTATTTTGTATAGAGCTTCAGAGGAAGTTCAAGCGAAATCGAAAACAAGACTCTTGTGCTCCTCAAGTAGGTCCTCGTCCATGAGCTCTGCTCCATCCTCATCCCTGCCATACCACTTGTGCAGCAGCTTGAACACGAGCTGCCGGTCGCATGGTATGGGATCTCCCGTTTGGGGATGTGCATGGCCATTGGAACAACAGAAACAGGTTGCATCCTCAGTTCCCGGGAAAGGTGCACCAGATCGATATGCAGGGAACCCCACACAATGAGCAGGAAGCAAAACGGAGCATCAACACCAAGTTTAACACTGCCGTCCTGCATGCGGAACTGGGCCAGCTGCTGCGGCAACCCCGCGAGTTCGCGCATCAGCTCAATGCCTGCGCATGGTTGGAAGGAGCACGCGAGATGAAACCACGACTCCTTCGAGGGCTACAGACCTGCATGCTTGGACTAATGGGTCTGGCAGGTCTGATGTACAACAGAGAGGTGAGGGGAAGTGACTAACATATGAATGCCACACTATTTATGCACATATGACTATATCTATCTATCTACTATCTATATGCATGCTAGACACACTTGCGTGCTGCGCTCTTCGCACGCACGATAGTGCCGGGGCGAAAGGGGTCTCCGGTCGGTTTTGACGTTTCGGGTTTTGGAACTTCGGGCACACCTGCAAGGAGGCGGGGCTGAGGAACACGTGTTGTCTTGTCTTGTTTTTGGGAGTTTCTCTTTCGGGTGGGGGCAGCTGGAAGCAGGGGTGGGGCAGGGGGCGCCTCCAGCCATGGGTGTGCGTGCGCGATTGGCGTGTCTGTGATTGGCATCGATTGCCACGAAAGCATCCGACTGCGCCGAGCTTACCGTGATAAGCCTCGAGCATTTCACGTCAGCTTTGCAGCCGTAGAATCTCTTCGCGTTTGGTGCCACTAGATAGCCTCAAACGGTGCCCCACCCGGGACCAAGGTGCCCAAGAGCAGACACAACCACGGCAGTTCTGCGACACTGGACGATGTTCAACTATCCAAAGGCAAAACAACGGAACCTTACCCGCCTTGCCCTGCCACCTGAAGCAACTAGTGACCTTCGAACAGCCATCGTGTCCGCACTCACATGAGTGGATGCAAACTAGCTTTCAGGATCCCTTGCGTGTAGGCCCTTGACACAGCAGCCCGGTTCCGGGAATGAAAGCCCACGTGCGACCAGGTGACCGATGGCATACACCAGCGGCCTGGAGCAGGAGAAGGAACCCATACACACGCATATATATATATATACATATATATATATATATATATATATATTTATTTATTTATTTATTTATTTAATTATTTATTTATATGCGTGTGTATATATATATAGAGATATCATCAAAGACCAACAGCGGCATTATCGCTGGCATATTCATTGACAAACTGTGGCAGTTTCCTCGCCGTTTTCGGCGTGATCACTATTTCTCTCCATACAACCGATACCTGAAGGTATCAGCATCCTTGTCACAGTGACGAAGTTATGAACGATGACTATCATTCGTGGCCATTAGCTGCGTTGTCATGAAATCCCTTTGTGGTTCGTGGTGCTGAAAAATCATGGCTGGTAGCTGATAGCCCAGCAGCAGGACCAAGGCGAAGACCAGGATCATCAGAGCCGAAACCAATGCCAGGACATTGAAGTTCACCTTGAAGTCTAGCAGGGAATCCTGCGAGCTGAAACTGCACTGAGCTGCTTCGAGGTGGCTCAAGGGTCTGAAGCCGCAGCTCGGGAGTTCGAGTTCCTTGTGAGGGCATTTATAGGGCTGCAATAAGGGTCAGCATACGGCTTCAGAGTAGCTCCTCCGACTTCGAGAAGACGTGGAAGCACAAGCTCAGCAGATGCCAGCAGAGAGATCCCAGCAGCAGCAGGGCACCCGTCTTCAACGGCATGATCTGCAAAATGAGTTGTGATTATGTGCTTGGGAGGAGTCCGTACCACAACCGGGACCCCTATCCCGAAACCACAACCGAAAGCGCTCTCCCTATCTTCACCGGCAAAAAGAAACTTCAAGCTTACACCAGAAGGTGAACCTTTAAAACACGGCACAACAAACTCGGACCGGTTCTTGGAGGTGGGAAGAAGTTCTTGCGTCAAGATCTTGTGCGCTCTCGCGGAAGCCGTCGTTCTTGCTTGCAAACTGGTGCGACCCGAGCTAGCACACCGCCCTCAGACCACCCTTTGAAACGCGAAAGCGCCCTCAGCGCTGAACCTCCCACCGAAGCCCCGACTGGCAAAGTTAAAGACCCGGATGTCCGGATGCTATTTACATCGGCCGGTCGGGGTTTGGTCTAGACGGTTTCAGCTAGGTTCATGGCCTCGGGTTAAATGGAGGCTTTCGCATTTATGCGTTTACATTTAATATAGGGCGTGGGTCAGGGTTTCCTAGTTTGGGGCTTATCGATATGCGGGTTTCGGATGGTTTAGGGTTACGAGTTCCAGTAAGGTTCCCCAGGCTTGAGCTTGAGGGCAAGCTAAGTGTAGATTGGGTGAAGCGCTGCTGATTTCAGTGACAGTACTGTCAGTCAGAGTGACTTCCATAAACCGGGTGATAATAAAACTGTAAAATCAAGGAAGCATCTGCTTCAGGCAACTCGATCTTGCAAAGCTTCTGGCACCCTCAAACCCCGGACGAAAGGCCGCCACACACATCGCACGCGGCGTCGTTCTAGTTTCTAGTTTGTCCGAGACGCGGAATCAACCCCGAAAGTAGCAATGAAAGGGAAAATGTATTTCGGCCTCTGCATGCCCCACCCTGCGTGGCAGACGTTTGCATCATCACTGTTGCGGTACTCGCATAATCACCAGCAAGGTTAGCAGGTTAGCACTTGTGTAACTCGAGGATTTTGCACGAAGGAGGACGAGCAGCAGCAGGGGGCTGATGCTATGGTTGCAAGCCCGCCTGAATTCGGCTCTGCCGATCCCTGAGGAATGTTCCAATCTCGAAGCCGCACCAAACGCGCAAAAAGGTGCGCGGCGACCAGAGGACGATCAACTTCCTCGAAGCCATCAGGAATCCAGCTATGCCCAGGATGCCGGCTTGCTTCAACCTTGGATCCCAAGACGACTGAGGCTCAGGGCCTGGACTCCGAAGGCTGCTTCAAAATGCCTCCGAAGCACTGCTCGTCCTGCTGCGAGATGCAAAGCTTGTCCAAAAACACCAGTTGAGGCCTGCAGAAGAGCATCCGGATGCGCTGCCAGAGAGCCAGGACAAGGAAGAAGCTGAGGTGGCCGAAGGTGGCCATCCAGATCTCAGCAGGAAGCAGCCCTGCTGCTCTCAGGACTCCCACGAGGATGCTGACAGCAAGGCATGCCAGGAAAGCAGCTCGCGAGTTGTAGATGATGACCAACGACAAGACCTTGAGCCGTGCGTTCGAGGCCCAGTCGTGGCTGAGGAAGGCATCCAAGGAAGCCGTGGGGCAGCTCAGCTCGTACGAGTATCGCTGCGCTCGCTCCGCCTCCTGCGGCCCGGGCCGCTCCAGCGTGAACATGCCACTCTCCGAATTTTTCCAGTGCCGCCCCCAGCCAGTCAGTGCCACATGCAGAGGCACACCGCGCAGAAGGTTCGGCTCTAGCTTGGTACTCAGCTCCCTTGTTGCAACACCGCTCTCAGAGTCCTCGCTGCGGTGAGCCGGCTCTGCCCACGCAGGTGCCATGGCGCAGCACCCACCCACGAAGACCCAGGTTATGGATGTCTGAGGGGGGATGGGATGAATGATTGCCGGCCTCATCCAGTCATGAAGCCACACTATCTTGTCCACTGACACTGCTGTCTCCAACATCATCCATCAGAACTCTCAAGAAGTTGTGTGCTCAGCTTCTGCTTCCAGCGACGACTTCCGCCCCCACCGCCATGCTCTCTTTTTCCGAACATGATCCACTGCGGCGCGCAGGCTGAGTGAACCTTTGCCTTTTGGGCTTTTGGCCATACGGCCTGCAACGCTGCTCGGGGCATCGACGAAAATGCTGATGATGGTGGTGGTGGTGGTGGTGGTAGTGTTGGTGAAGATTATGGAGACAGTAGTGACCGTGGCAAGGAAATTCCAGACTATGTTCCTGACATCTGTACACTGGAAGTCTTCGCCCTGCACTGCAATGTATGCAGAACGCTGTTGCGTCACTGGCGGCTCGGCACACCCCTTTGGGGTAAGGCTCAGCTGCCCGGCCGTGCTTATTTCCTGTCTGGAACCTTCAAATGCAACCGGACCTTCCGCAGCAGTGCCCAACAATCCCTGCTTGCTGCTGTGCGTTCGGTGCAGCGCCTTGCGCAGAGGGCACAAGGTACCACACAGGACGATTGTTTTTGGGCTCGACTCGGCAGTCGCATCAGCCACTCGTAAGAGTATGACGCTGATTAGATGTGGAAGGTGGTCCCTTCCAAAGATGAAATCTCCATGGCCTCTTGGCAAACGTCTTCCGCGACCTTCGCCGACTTCCCTGTCTCTCGCATGGCTTCCGCCGCAGTGACATTGGGTACCGGGGTTTGCATGGCCCAGAGCAGTGCCGTCTGGCCGCAGGAGAAGAGAGCCAAGACCAAGGTGAACCAGGCGAAGAAAACGGCCACGGGAAGAAGGGAATCCTCTGCAGTCGAAGCGAGAAGGTATTGCAAAGGACCCCACACCACGGCCACGAGAACGAAGATAATGATGTCTGCCGCTATGGCAGCACACCAGCGGTTCTTCAGCCACAAACCAGTTTTCCACATGGGCAGGCATATCCACGAAGCCAGCATGCTGGCCAGGGGCGCGGTCCCCCAGTCGGTGAGCTTCCGCAGAGTCAGGGCGAAAAGAGCATAGCCGGAGCTGCCCGCGTGCACACTTGCGATCCACTGCGCGACGTGGTCTGCGAGGTAAGGCAGGAAGCTTGCACCGACCATATATACCGCATAATTGAGCGGCAATGTCATGCCGCCAGTGAGCAGCGCTATGCGGGGAGCTAGCTCCTCTCGAACCTGTCTGCTGAATCTCTCCAAGTGGTCAACCTCACCTTCCTGCCCATACCACTGCCTCAGAGTGTTGTAAACCAGCAGCCGGTCGCACGGCAGCTTGGATCCGTCGTGTGGGTGCCGGTGGCCATTCGAGCAGCAGAAGCACTCCGCATCCTCGCAGGGCACAATGCATGGAACCCTGTAAATGAGATCAGACCCTGCGCAGAGACACGTTTGGGTACAACGGTCATCGAAGCCTTCGCATTGAAGCCGGCTAATTGGCGAGGCATTTCTTCCAGGTCCGCGACGATTCCCATGCCTGTTCAGAGACAGTATAGACCAGTATAGACTCAGTAGATAGCAGCCTCGACAAGGAAAGATGGAGCCCGGAGGGAGGCAATCTTTTCACATCCGAGCAGCCCAAGTAGAACACGAAGGGCAGCACAACGCTTGTGAGAAGGAGCATCAATCCCGTCAAAATCAGCGAATTGCGCCATACTTGTCCATCGTTGACGACTCCTTGCCATCTGCACCGATTTGCCACAAGTTGTTCCACGAGACTTCAAAGGTTTGAGCTTTTGCCAGGCGCCTCCATTTCTGGAGGTCCCAAGCCGACATACCCAAGAACCCCATTCTTGCAACACCAACACCTCCCCGTGAGTCCAAAAGGTGCAACGGGGTCCCACCCAAAAATGCACACGGGACTGCGGCGAGACTACGACATGCAGGCGCGAAGACGTGGCAGGCTACAATTGCAACATACTGTGGCGGCATCGCGATTTCATTCAATAAACCGCGTGTTCCGGAGAACTTGGACAGGGGGGCGTGGAAATAATGCGATGTTAGTCACCGGAACAGCCGTGCGCACCGGCTGCGGCGCCTCGTAGCAACAACTGTAACAAGTAAATATACGTAATCCTGTTGAACACCAAGGCAAACACCGGTGCTACCACGCTGTTGTGGGGAAAGACAGCACTGCACTGCAAACCGGACCCCTGTCCTGCAAATACATTCCAGCCGATGGCCAAGGCGAACCAACATCCAGCGCTCAGAAGCAGCAGAACTGCCGTCTTCAAGGGCATGAACTGGATGCGCTTCCGCCGCTCGGGATCTTTCATGAAGGTCGCGATTTCCAGCCTAGCTGGGTTCCCAGCTTAAGGCGCGGAAAGGGCTCTTGAAGATATCGTTCGGGGAGAGTTTATCTTTCACCCCCGCACCAACCCTGACTCCGACCTCATCTTTCACTCCCCCAAGCCCCCACCGTGAAAAATGAGACTTCATCTTTCCACCTTCCTTTGCCCCCTGAACCCCGCCATGGAACAGAGTGCTTGTTTGATCCTGAAAGGGCAACTTCCCTCTGCCAAAGGAGTGGGTGGAGGTGTCCTTGTTTCCGCGGAAGAAGCAGTGTCAGGTTTCACACTGTTGTCCAAAGCTCCCTTCCAGCCAGTAGCTGTAGTTCCAGAAACAGTGCATGCCCGACCCTCTGCTATCGATGCTTTACTCCACACCTTACGGTTCAGAACCGCGGCAGCAGACTGCTGATGTGCAAACAAGCACATTTCGGCATTTGTCAGATGAGTTGTGCTTGCACCAGGACGCAGGCGAACGCAGAAGAGTAGCCAAGCGGCGTGCACCAAAGACGCGTAAAATACCTCTGATCCACTCGTGTCAAGCGATTTCACATGCGCTCTTAACTCACTCGAACATGAGAAAGTGCTCTATCTCCATGTACGACCCAAAGCAGTACCAGCCAGACGAGATGCCGCGGCGTCAGGAGAACCACGAGCTGCCGAGAGCTCAGCAGAAAGGCAGCGAGCCCTTTGATGCCTTTCTGCTTTAGCCTGGGCGCGGTAAGATTTCTAGAATCGTAGAGTGACGACGACTTTTACTTCAAGAAAACTACCCTATCGAGGAAAACAGAGGTCTGCCGTTGCGCCAGGTGTATGTGCAGGTTACTGTATAGGCTGTTTTTTGTTGCTGGTGGCGGTGGCGGTGGTGGTCGTCGCGTTGGCTGCGTCAGAGTGAGCGTGGCAGCAGCTAACGGGAGATCAGCAGTCCCCAGTGGCACGGCAGCAATGGGAGCAGGGCACTGCGACCTGGAACCTGCCTTAAGGTTGACTTTGACACCGCAAAGTTCCGCTGACACTCGGCGCAAGCTTCTTCCAGGGCATTGCCGGCATGGCATGAGACGAAGGTCGGCCGAGCAGCTCCTCGTCGTGCTGTGCCACGCAGAGCTTGTCCAGGAAGACCATGAGGGGTCGACAGACGGTACGTCTTATGCACTGCCAGAAGGCGAAGACGAGGAGGAAGGTTGCGTGGCCAAGCACCACGGTCCAGCCCTCATCCGGCAGCAGATCGTAGCCACGCAGCACTCCCACAGCAGTGCTGACAGTAAGACACGCCAGAAAAGCAGCGCGTGAGTTGCAGATGATGAGCAGTGACAGGAACTTAAGTGTTCCACTCGAGGCCCAGTCGTGGCTGAGGAAGACATCCAGTGATTCGGTCGGACGGCTGAGCTCGTAGCTTTTTGGGTCCACATTGAACATGCCGCTGTCCGGAGTCTCCCAATGCCTTGCGTCACGTAACTTGGACACTCGAACGTGGCCCAAAGAAATGCGACATTGGCGTTTGGCGTGCCTGCCCCAGCCCGCAAGCGCCACATCGAGCGGCACCCCACGAAGGAGTTCGGGCTCCAGCTGCGTCTTCAACTCCTGCACAGTGCACATGACGGGGCCTTCCAGGCCCCCCCCTGATCAGGTTCTGGAGGCCACTTAGGACCTAGGACATCCTAGGACTCACCAGCTCATTCAGGCAAAAGCAGCTGCTGAAGTCCCAAGTTCTTGAGCTGCACTCATCAAACGCCGTGCCTTTGACGTCGAGCGATGTGACTGCGCTTCTGACTGAAAGCTGGGGCTGCGAGGCTCTGCATGCTCCGACTCTGGCAACATAGGCGGAAGGCTCGGCTCTGGCTGGATCTTCTGCGAAGATGAAGCTCTAAACTCTGGCCTTCGAAGGTCTCGGGTGGAAAACTTCCATCACAACTGCTGACACATTCCAAATACTCTCAAGACCTGCCCGTCTGTCGCAAAGTGTCGTATTCTGACTGGTTGGCTGCCTTGAGCCCGAGCTGAGGAGTAACTCAAGCAAGATCGGCATGCAAGTTGTCAGGCAAGGGCTTCGTCTTCTAACGTGAAGGCCACAGAAGGTGTCGTTGTGCGGCTGTCCTCAAGTCCCGAACGCACAACCAGGGCCCTTCAAGGCCCTTCATCCTAGAAATCGCCAAAGCCCAAGACCTACGCCTACGCAGCTCTAGGCCAAACAGATGCTGAGAGTAGTGCCGGGTCCGAGCCTCCCCATAATGCAGCCTCGGCCCATGGCTAGGGCGACACTGCGACAGCAATCGCACCAGGTGGATCTGGGTGGATTGGTCAGGCGACTGCTCTTGTTTTGCCGGGCCGTGGGAAATTGGTGGGCATAGACTTCTATGCAGCACTGCTTCCTTTGAAGACTTGGGGTGCAGGGGCAAGGCACCTCCAGTTCAAGAGCAAGCTCACTACCATGGCACGAAGACCGAAGCCCCGAAGAGTCGCTAAAGATCTTCAAAAGAAACCTGAAAGTCCGCCCAAAAAAGCCTGAAGTGCTGCGCGAGCCGCGCCCCGGTCCCGGAGCTCTGGCCCCTGGGCTGCGGCGACGCACCATCGCGACCTTTTCCCGAATCGGGCTCGGTGCTCTATGCTGGATGCACAGTACTACAGTACAAAGGCTTCAGAGAGGACTACAGAGATGTGGAGTTGAGATCATACTGTTGAGCCGAAAAGCTGCAAAATCCTGACGCAGATCCTCAAGGCAACTCCCCTGTGTCGTCTTTCGACAACGTGATGCTAAGGTGGTCCCGCTTGGCTTTCACGAATTTCACTGTGGCCCAAGCAAAACGAGTTGTAACAAATTGAAATCGGAAACCCTCAGGCTGAAACCAAGTGGATGCAACCCGACGATGGGCCGCGGAGCTGCGCATTTTGTACCCGCTTGCCGGGTCGGCGTCGTTGTCACACGTAGCCCTGGGCGAGACAGGAGCAGGCAGAGTACATGCTGCGAAGGCATGTGGGAGTCGTATAGCTGTATACATCAGCCTCGACGATCTTCAGCTTCTTCTCCGTGGCATCGAGTCGTTCCTGACAGCTCCAGTGCCAGTGGGGACAAGGCAGTCGTTGAAGCCGGAGAGCACGCAACAGAAACATTCCAGCAGCAGCAGCAGCAGCAGAAGCAGCTGAAGAGCCGTAGAGCATCCGTAGCAGTATCACTAGCAGTAGCAAAAGCGGTAGTAGCAACAGAAGAACAATGCGCCGCAGTTGAAGACATCGTCGTCGAAGAACTAGTGGTGGGAGTGGGGGGAGGGGGAGGAGGAGGAGGAGGAGGAGGAGGAGGAGGAGGAGGAGGAGGCGGAGCCACGATTGCACGAGCAGGGATGGCAAAGGTCACGCTGACGGCAAATGCCCCACTAAAGGGCTCCTGCACGGCATCGAGTTCACTGGAGTGAGCTGCCAAGAGGTGAGCAACCTGGTCAGCAGGTGGCATATATTGGATGCACATGCCACCCCACCCCTTGAACCCGACTGCTCGCTACTGTTATCCTGGCATTCCTTGACCTAGGGCCACCAGGGACGTTACGACGTGTGCAGCCGCACCTGATCGAGGGGATCACCACCGCTCTCGGCCTCTGAAAGCGGCTAAAGCGAACATGCAATCAAGCGCCAGGATCTTGTAGGAGTACGATGTGTACAACATGCAGCACCCACCACAATCGCGGGGGTCCTCGAAAGCGACGGTCTCATCCGCGAGCTCCCTCACCTGCAACGTTCGCAGATGTAAAGACTCTGCAAAGCTTGGGCTCGAGCCCGTCCACGGGTAATCTATGTACTGTTATGCTATTACATGTTACCTGTGCTATCGCAACGTGATGGACGACAACGGAGACATGAATACAGATGCTGAGCAGCAGCAGCAGCAGCAGCAGCAGCAGCAGCAGCAGCAGCAGCAGCAGCAGCAGCAGCAGCAGCAGCAGCAGCGGAGGCAGCGGCAGCAGCAGCAGCAGCAGCAGCAGCACCAGCAGCAGCAGCAGCAGCTGCAGCTAGATATGGCAACCGCTGCTCCTGCTGCTAGCTGCTACTACTACTCTCCTGTCCTGCTGCTAGCTGCTACTACTGCTCTCCTGTCCTGCTCCTCCCACTACTTAGTACTCCTACTGCTGCTCTTACTCCTACTCCTCCCACTACTCCCACTGCTACTCCTACTACTCCTAATACTCCCACTACTCCTGCTACTCCTAGCCCTCCTACTACTCGCTCCACTCTTGCTCCTACTCCTACTTCTCCTACTACCAATCCTACCGCTACTGCTACCAGTACCACCTCTGCTTCCTTCTTCCCCGCCTGCAGTGTGAGGTCCCCGAGCTGGCTCTCCAAGGCCGCTGCACGATCCTCCAGCCTCTACTCAGCACCAGAGCAAGCCTACGCGAACGCGAAGTTTGCAAAGGCAGACGCGTGCAGGTCACACCCTGTCTGAGCACCATGTGGCACGACAACTCACCCCCCAAGACCTCATGGTACTCCGCGGGGTCTTCAATGTCCTTGGTGTGGAGCAAGATTCGACTCCACAAGAGCCCACAGGAGCCGCCCTGCTTCTCCTCTCGTCATAGCTCCTTTCTTCCGGGTCCCCGGCGAGCCCAAGTCCAACTGTGTCTCCAGCTGCTCCAGGAGCTTCGCGAGAAGGTCCTCTGAGCAGAAGTGAAGAAAAGGCCCAGCTGGTAGCTCCCCGCTGCAGCTGCACCCATCTCTGATTTCGGCCGGCACAGATTGTGGCTTCACGCATCCTAAGTTGTGACACGGCAGTGTATACCTATCAGTGTAAGCCTCAGCAGAAAACTGCCCGAGCAGCCGTCTGACGTCTGCTGCTTCCTAGAGAGCCTCACCCTCGTTGATCCCGCCTGCTGCTCACGTATCAGCTGCATCGACCCCTGGGCGCCCTCCTGCTTTCGCCTCTGGGAGACGGCGACTTGAACGGGCTCTGGCTTAACCGTTGTCTGGGCCCGGCCAGGGTCTCAAACCCGAATATCAGGAATCACAAGCAGACAGCGCTCTGCGGCTGGCTTGGTGATGCTTGATCCGCCCAGAAGCCGAAGAGGTCAAGGCCCTTGCATCAGGTCTTCGCGCTCCTCCCTGAGTACCTCACAAGGCGAAGACTCTGAATTTCGAATGCCAACACGGAAGAGTCAAAGGCTTGCCTGGACCTTCTCGTGGAGGTCGGCATAGTCCCTTTCCATGTCCAGAGCAGCCGTGGAGGCCGCCTGCCCCGAGGCCGACGGGTTTTTGAATTATATCGATTGCGGCTGCAAACGGAACTCGCGCTCTCACTTAGCTCCAGCCTTCACGGACTTGGCATACTGGCTTATTCGGCCTGCAAATGCCGCGAAGGGATAGGCGCCCCATCGCTGCCGGCACCGTGGCACCCCACCAAACAAGAACTGCAAGTACAAAAAGTCAACATGGCGACACGGTGACATCAGCGCCTTCCCAATTCCGAAAGAGCTCGTCGACGAGCTTCTGCTCCTGCGACGGCGCACGGCGCTCGGCCGACCCTTCCCTGACCACTTTAGCCGCCTTGCAACTTTACAGAACTCTTCGAGAAACCCGTCCCGAACAGACAGTCCGGTCTGGACCCTGGCAAGACGTCGCCTCGTCCGTCAGCCGTGGTGCCTGCACCGCGACGACGGGCGGTGGACGATCTGTGCCTGTTACAGCCGGGTCTGACAAGCGAAACAAGGGGCTTCGGATGGCAAAGCCCGCTCTGGTTTTTGCTGCACGGAAGCCGAGGGCGTCGCCACTCTTCGCGGGTGCCGAAGCAGCCTGGATGAGGAGGAATGGTAGTCAGGGCTCAGCTATCAACATCGTGCGGTTGAATACTTCCTGAACGCATCTTGACATACTCTCGTCGTAGGAAGCACTCTAACTTGAGTATGTTTGTCTATTTATAAGGCTCTGATTGACTCATTTATGCATGCTCTGGCCCATCATTTTCTCTTCCTAGCCTCGACAGACAGCATGGTCGTTCCTGAGTGAGCTGCAACACATAAAGGGGAACAGTGGTAGTGCATCAAAATTGCTGCCGTTGCTTTCAACGGCGATATCTTAAGAATCCTTCACATACGCCGGGTCGCAACGTAGAACATAGACTTGCTTCCAAAAGATGCGCCCGCAGCTGTGCAAGTCACTAAGGGTCTCTTTTTGCGCTGTCGCGCGCGAGCTCCTTGGCGCGGCTTCGAGGGCCACGGCCCAGGAGCCGCAGTGCTTGGCCCAGGAGCTGCTGCCGTCCACCGCGAGCTCCTCGGCTCGTGGTCTCTGCGAGGAAGGGGGGGCTTCACAAGTCTGACCGACCATTCAGCTGCCAAGCCACGGCGGGAAGTGGCCAGCGTTGCCAGGTTCCAGCTGTCATGTCGAAGGCCTGCAGTGTACGCGTCTCAGCTGGAATTCTGCGTGGGCAACAAGTGCAAGCGCAGGAGTACTTGTAGATGCCGGACAAGTCGATTTCATTTGGGCCTTCTCCTGATCGACAACAGACTGACTCCTTCCATTTATGTCGCAGCCCCCCAAGCCCTGCGGGCGTCTGCTGCCCAGGCTTGAGCCCACTGCGTGTTGCGATGGTGCTCTCCTGCTCGAAGGCGTGGAGCATTGTATGCTGCTTTCTTGGCGGAGGAATGCTTGGTTGCTGCCGCCATTTCTTGGCGGGTGCGGATGAGCCATTGTGATCTATATCTCGTGTTGTACCCAGTCAAAAGGCTTGGCCGCCTGGCCCCTTTCCTGTTGCAGTCTTGCAGCAACTTGCAACCAAGGCCTGACAGTGCACTCAACACCTTCAGGTTAAGGGTTCAAGACCCTTCCACCCCGCGTCTGCATGCTCAGCTCTACTGCGACCCAGGGCACCCATCCCGCCTGGACGTGATCCCGGCCCACGCAGGCCAGGGAGCCGCCCAGATCGAAAATTTCCCCGAGGTTCTCGAAGCTGTCCTGAAATCTCAACTCAGCCCCGACACCCCGAAACCTGCGATGGTCCGATGTGGACATCACTCTAATTCTCCTCAGCGATGATAAATCTGATATTTTTGGTTCTCCAACAGGAGCTTCGGAGTTTGGTGTTTGCAGCCCAAGCGGCGGCGAGCGGCAGCACCGCCAGCTCCTCCACCACAGGACGTGCCTCAGAGGAGGGAACAGCTTCGAGTCCCACTATGGTTTCGACTGCTCCTGCAGGATGCGACCGCAACGCCTGGCCGAGACGCCTCGCCACTCAGCGCCACCAGGCGCGAGGATGACGAGCGTGCACGCTGAGCTGCGCCGTTCCGCGGCAGCAGCCGGAAGCTTTGGGTTCCAACCGCACCCTCGCCTCCGACAATGCTATGGCCGTTGGCTACGACTATGCCAATGCCCCCTTCAGGCTCGCTCCCCCACTCCCGAGCGTAACAGAGCGTAACAGGCTGACGAGTTGCATTCCATCCATCCCAAAGAGACGAGCAGGCGCCCGTCCTGCCCGAACATTGAACATTGAGGCAGCTTCTCTAATACCCACAGCAACGATAACAATAACGAAAACAAGAGCTATCAAAAAAACAAAACCAGAAGAACACCACCATAGCAATAATAACAACAAGAGCTCGTAGTAGTAATAAGTAGTAGCAACAGCAATCGCTGCCCCTGCGCCTCCAGGAAGGTTCCGGCTCCGGGCCGCCGCCAAGGAAGCTGTCCAGGCAGGACGGCCCAGCCGCCGGGGCTTTTTCCCTTGGCCTCGCTTCGAAGGCTCCTTACGAAGAGGAGACAGCTGAGCAGGGGCAGAGACAACGGGGAAGAGGGGGGCGGGCGATTCTGGTCTATTTGTTCGATTCCAGCTTGTGCCGACGGGGCGTCAGTCTCTGAACATGGCCGTGGCAACTGCTCATCTTGCTCCATCCTCCCAGGATCGTCACCTCCAAGCCGTCCCGCTGCACCGCGACGGCTGAGGAAAGGATGGCATGAGGTGCGGCCGGCAATGCCTGCCACCGCTGCGTCTCCAGATCAAAGAGCCAGGGGCTGTGGGCCCCGTGGTGAGGCGTGCCCGTGACCAGGAGCCACTGCCCATCTGGACCGCAAGAGACGAAGCGGGAGCCCAGGGAAGCGCGGAAGCGTCTGGCCTCCGTCTCGTCGCTGATGGGCCAAGCACCTTTGCCCAGCTCCACCTACCGGGCACCAACACATTCAGATGCGTAGAAAACTCTCCCCTCCTGAGGTCCTGTGTGCTTGCACGACAATCATAACGCCCCGCCTGCCAGATGCGCGAGGTTCCGTTCTCCAGCACGTAGAAACGTCCCGGCACAGAGGTGGCCACCGACCTGGAGCCAGCCTTGATGTCAGCCGCCAGGACTGAACAATGCACCTCTCCGGAAGGCAAGAGCAGCTCCACACAGCGGTTTCCCAGAAGCCACACCACGCGAGCGCACGGCTCCACAGGAGGCACCAGGGCTGGGGCTGGGGAAGGCGTAGCCTCTTTGCGGCGCCACCTGCGACTGGGAGGCCCGTCCGCCTGTTGCGGGTAGCCCTCATGCCAGGACGGCAAGCCGCCCTGGCCCTGCTCCTGGTCCTGGCTCTGGCCCTGGCTGCCCTGGCTGTGGCCCCACCTGGCTTTCTTGCCTTTCTGCCAGTCCGACATCGGAGCCCGCGTGTCACAACTTAATTTTGGAAGTGGCTCGACTGAGATGGCGGCGAAACAACGGAAAGGAGCAGGACTCCGTTGACAGGGCAGCTGACTACCACTGATCAGCAACACCAACACAACAGCAACCGCAGCAGCACCATCATCGCCACAAGAAGAAGCAACAGCAACAGCCAAGCTTCGTTCTAAAGCGGGCTTGCACCGTCAATGGAAAGTTTGCAAAGCTGGCAGGCGTTGTTGTTCAAACCACCCTGCCTTAGCAGCACTCTTCGCCACAGCTCCAGCTGCTCCTTCGAACATGCTCATTTCGGTGGGGGCTTGTGGTCTTTCAAGGAGCTTAGGTTCCCGGCCAGCGCTGGCGCTGGCACTGGCCGCTGGCTCGGCGCCTTGGCAAGGCTTCGGGCCTCTCTGGAATAGCCATTGTGAGTGAGTCAGTGTGAGGGCTGAGGAGGGATGATGCCCGATGCCGGGAACTGCGGCTGCTGCTGGATGAAGTAATCCTCTTCCGAACCTTTACCACACCCTGGTCCAAAACGGTGCCCGACTGGTAGCAACTCCTTTGACGTCCTTTGCACGCCAGGCTCCGAGCCACCAAGAATTCCCGACAGCCCACCGGCAGCAGGTGCGCCTCGGTGCGGGAAGACGGGAGCCCTGGGCGCCCATTGACCGATAGCACACTTGGATAGTGCCGACTCGACGGCACCGACGATGAGAAGCGCGCGGATTGATTTGTGCTTCGGCCATTTCGGCCATCAGTCTTCCCTACATTGCGCCAGACCCCGACGTGCTTGCGATGACCCTCTTAGTCCTCGCGCCCGAGATTCAGGGAAGACAGCGCAAGCAGCACAGAAAAAAGAATGCTAGAGGCTTGCCTGCCGAGACATGAGGGCCGGGCTGAGAGCGCCGAACAAGCCCGAGCCGTTGGCGCCTGCAGTCGGCGACGGAACTTCGAGGAGTTTGGAGTGGCTTTCTCCGGGTTCGGCACCAGCGCCCAGAAGCTCGGAACCACTCGACGCACCTGAGACTTCAGGAAATCTGGTGGCATTAAAGCAGCTGCGAGCGCAGACTTTGTCTCAGCAAGCCGCTGCTGCCCAAGGGCGCACTGCTCGAGCTTGAGCCTCCTGCGCGTGACAATGCCAGGTTTCGGGGTTTGCGTTGCCTTCGCTGAAACCGTGCTGTAGAACGTCCCGGGCCTGAGGCAAGCAAGCCGGAGCTGGAAGAGCCTCGCGAGAGGAGCGGCTTTGGCTTCAAGCATCTTGTCAGATTCGAAGCGAAGCAAATGTTTGCTTTGCCGCTCAGTCAGACAACTATCAGAGGACCCAGCCCGCTCCGAACGGCGATGCCGTGGAGCTGGAGGACCCTCCTGCGGATTGCCAGGTCCAAAGCTCGCAAGCCACAGAATCTTCTGCACGTCGCATCTTCTGCAGTATTGCGGCACCAACGCTCCTCCAAACAAGCCGGAGCCAGAGGAGGCACCTCACACACGGTCACGCACTCACTCTTGCATCAGGTCTCATCAGCATCTTCAGGCACCAATTCTCGCACTCTCATTGGGCGTCGCACCGCCGCCGAATGCTCCGGACAAGCCCGAGCCCGCGGACGCTCCTCGCAAAGCACTGATTCAGCGACAGCAGACGAGGGCCGATGGCCGTAAGTCCGAAGCCTCCGAAAGGCGATGCGCTCGAGCTCGAGGAGGCGCCTCGCCACATTCACGGAGATCCGATATCCAGGGCACTCGTTCTAGGACGACGCACCTCCGCCGAACAAGCCCGAGCCAGTCGAAGTGCCTTGTAAAGATCCACCGAAACATGGGCTTGCAAACATTCAACATGCACCCTCCGCAGCAAAAGGGGCGTGATCCAACTCGAGTGTCTGCAACCTCCTAGACAGTAGGTCAGCCCTTCAGTTCATCCATTTTTCCCGTCTGCAACATGAGGTTCCTCTAAAAAGAGACCAAGAGCCACAGTACTTGGAAGCCAAGCCACCCCCGAATGGCGAGGCCGTCGAGCTCGCAGAAGCTCCTGACAGGCCCCAAGCAACTCTGCAGCATTGCATCACCAGCAGAAAGCATCTTGCCCCACCTCCGCCGAAGAGTCCCGAGCCAGTTGAGGCACCTGAGACTTGCTTGTAGTGCGCGTTGCAAAGTGCCGGTCATCGGCACTTAGGTGCCGAGCCGGTCCCAAATGGCGAGGCGGTGGAACCGGAAGAGCCTCCTGCCCGCAACAAAATCGTGGATTCGTCCAGCGCCCGTGCTCGTGAAGCAGTTGGCCGCATCCAGTCTTTGCTGAGCATCCAGCCCGCTCCGAACGGCGATGCCGTGGAGCTGGAGGACCCTCCTGCGGATTGCCAGGTCCAAAGCTCGCAAGCCACAGAATCTTCTGCACGTCGCATCTTCTGCAGTATTGCGGCACCAACGCTCCTCCAAACAAGCCGGAGCCAGAGGAGGCACCTCACACACGGTCACGCACTCACTCTTGCATCAGGTCTCATCAGCATCTTCAGGCACCAATTCTCGCACTCTCATTGGGCGTCGCACCGCCGCCGAATGCTCCGGACAAGCCCGAGCCCGCGGACGCTCCTCGCAAAGCACTGATTCAGCGACAGCAGACGAGGGCCGATGGCCGTAAGTCCGAAGCCTCCGAAAGGCGATGCGCTCGAGCTCGAGGAGGCGCCTCGCCACATTCACGGAGATCCGATATCCAGGGCACTCGTTCTAGGACGACGCACCTCCGCCGAACAAGCCCGAGCCAGTCGAAGTGCCTTGTAAAGATCCACCGAAACATGGGCTTGCAAACATTCAACATGCACCCTCCGCAGCAAAAGGGGCGTGATCCAACTCGAGTGTCTGCAACCTCCTAGACAGTAGGTCAGCCCTTCAGTTCATCCATTTTCCCGTCTGCAACATGAGGTTCCTCTAAAAAGAGACCAAGAGCCACAGTACTTGGAAGCCAAGCCACCCCCGAATGGCGAGGCCGTCGAGCTCGCAGAAGCTCCTGACAGGCCCCAAGCAACTCTGCAGCATTGCATCACCAGCAGAAAAGCATCTTTCCCCACCTCCGCCGAAGAGTCCCGAGCCGGTTGAGGCACCTGAGACTTGCTTGTAGTGCGCATTGCAAATTGCCGGTCATCGGCACTTAGGTGCCGAGCCGGTCCCAAATGGCGAGGCGGTGGAACCGGAAGAGCCTCCTGCACGCAACAAAATCGTGGATTCGTCCAGCGCCCGTGCTCGTGAAGCAGTTGGCCGCATCCAGTCTTTGCTGAGCATCCAGCCCGCTCCGAACGGCGATGCCGTGGAGCTGGAGGACCCTCCTGCGGATTGCCAGGTCCAAAGCTCGCAAGCCACAGAATCTTCTGCACGTCGCATCTTCTGCAGTATTGCGGCACCAACGCTCCTCCAAACAAGCCGGAGCCAGAGGAGGCACCTCACACACGGTCACGCACTCACTCTTGCATCAGGTCTCATCAGCATCTTCAGGCACCAATTCTCGCACTCTCATTGGGCGTCGCACCGCCGCCGAATGCTCCGGACAAGCCCGAGCCCGCGGACGCTCCTCGCAAAGCACTGATTCAGCGACAGCAGACGAGGGCCGATGGCCGTAAGTCCGAAGCCTCCGAAAGGCGATGCGCTCGAGCTCGAGGAGGCGCCTCGCCACATTCACGGAGATCCGATATCCAGGGCACTCGTTCTAGGACGACGCACCTCCGCCGAACAAGCCCGAGCCAGTCGAAGTGCCTTGTAAAGATCCACCGAAACATGGGCTTGCAAACATTCAACATGCACCCTCCGCAGCAAAAGGGGCGTGATCCAACTCGAGTGTCTGCAACCTCCTAGACAGTAGGTCAGCCCTTCAGTTCATCCATTTTTCCCGTCTGCAACATGAGGTTCCTCTAAAAAGAGACCAAGAGCCACAGTGCTTGGAAGCCAAGCCACCCCCGAATGGCGAGGCCGTCGAACTCGCAGAAGCTCCTGACAGGCCCCAAGCAACTCTGCAGCATTGCATCACCAGCAGAAAAGCATCTTTCCCCACCTCCGCCGAAGAGTCCCGAGCCGGTTGAGGCACCTGAGACTTGCTTGTAGTGCGCATTGCAAAGTGCCGGTCATCGGCACTTAGGTGCCGAGCCGGTCCCAAATGGCGAGGCGGTGGAACCGGAAGAGCCTCCTGCACGCAACAAAATCGTGGATTCGTCCAGCGCCCGTGCTCGTGAAGCAGTTGGCCGCATCCAGTCTTTGCTGAGCATCCAGCCCGCTCCGAACGGCGATGCCGTGGAGCTGGAGGACCCTCCTGCGGATTGCCAGGTCCAAAGCTCGCAAGCCACAGAATCTTCTGCACGTCGCATCTTCTGCAGTATTGCGGCACCAACGCTCCTCCAAACAAGCCGGAGCCAGAGGAGGCACCTCACACACGGTCACGCACTCACTCTTGCATCAGATCTCATCAGCATCTTCAGGCACCAATTCTCGCACTCTCATTGGGCGTCGCACCGCCGCCGAATGCTCCGGACAAGCCCGAGCCCGCGGACGCTCCTCGTCAGGCAACGACAGCAATAGCAGCAGCAACAGCTGCAGGGTCGACCTGATTTCCGCGGCTACGACAGCACTGCGTTAGCGAGCGGCCTGCCCCGAGGCCCCACCCAGCAGAGGCTGGTGCGCCTCCGGTGAAAGTACGGTATAGCTGACAGCAAACTGTATAGGAAAAAGTGTGTAAGATAGACCACATGAAACTACGCTCTGGGCCGCAAAAGCACCAGCAAGAATAGCGACAGCGGTGAGCACACAAAACGGCAACAACGACGAAGATGGCGACTCCGGCGACGAGGAGGACGGCTACCACGGCAACAGTCGTAAGTTACGTAAGACGGCAGTCAAGAATCTATCAGGGACAAGAACAAATCACAAGCACCAGAACAATCGTACCCACCCGCAAGATGCACAACAGCTGCTTTCTGCTTTTGTCTCTCGTTTTCCAATCCGGAGCTCGGTCTCCGGCCGCCCGAGA